CATGGTTGATAATTGGTTTTAATGATTAAATTACCATCTTTTTTATAAGATGTTGGATGTTCGAATCTCATTAAGAGATTGAGTAGGTGACATGACGTAATAAAAAAAAAAGTCTATATGACACAAATACACGTTCTTAAAAACGGCAAATATATTAGTATAAATATAAAGCATTAAAAGTTCAGTCAAGAAAAATAAAGCCTTAAAAGAATTACAAATTTTTTAGAAAAAATCTTTCATGTTCTGTACCTCCTAGACTTTGTGCGGGGTTTTATGCAATTGGCTGGTGGTTACTAGATATGAAATTTATAGGAAAAAAAATCTTTGAGCATAATGTTCTCTGATTATAGTACCGACGTCTGATGATAGTAGAATGCCAACTATTTTTATGTGTTTTCACTTAATTATTTAATTTGACTTATACGAAATTAGTTATTATAAATAATGGAACAATTCTAAAATCAGTCAAAATAAAAAGGTTATTTTGATTTTTACCACCTTCAAATAACGACTTTATTGAATTTACCACCTCCAAAAAAAAAAGATTTACTTTACCACCTTATAAAAAAATTAAACATCAGTTTTCCCACCTAAGCCTAACTCTGGTGACGGAAACCACCAGTGGGGCCCGCCATAACAGCTAGTTTTTAAAATTATCCCCAAATTCTCTCGATTTTCCTCCTATTTAAACAACCTTCTTCATCTCCACATCAAATTGTTGAAGATTGAAGTTTTTTTTTTTTGCAATTTTCTTTACAAATCCTTAATTTGGGTAGTAAATGAGCCAAAGTTCATCTTATAATTTGCTTATAGCTTGGTTTTTGGTCTGATTTGTATCCTTAATGGCTTAAGGATTGCAAACAAAAACGTGTTTGATCTTATAAATACCGAATCCGTGGATGAGCAACAACAATTACTCGTACCTGAGCTGCTTCAATTTCTGTTTCCTGAACCTGATTGTTATATGACAGAGGTTTCAGAAAACAAACGGCGACGAAGAATAGATTCGACTTCTGGAAAAAAATTGTTCTCGTAATTCGGAGGTAGTGTGACCATTTCTACTGCCAAATTTTCATTGAAGTTAATTGTATTTGAACACAATTACCATAATCTAACCCTAATTTTACTGCCTAATTGAAATATCAAAAACCCCCAAATTAATTTACACTTACATGAACCCTAATTATTTACAATATGAAATTGGGGTTGAATTAATAACAGAAAACATGCAATTTCAATTATACTTAGCAGTTGTAACATAATCACGCAAACAATTGCAAAAAATTACAACAGAATTCATGAAAATTGCTTACCTTTTCGCTGTTTGTCGTCGAACAGTTCAATTGATTCAGGGCCGAGTACAATCTTCAATAATTTGATAATTTGAGGATGTGGGATTGTTAAGGATCACCCAAAATCCGAATTTGTGAAGAAAATGGCAAAAAAAAACTTCAATCTTCACGAAATAGATGTAGAAATGAAGAAGTTAGGTTTAAATCAATGGGAAATCGGGAGAATTTGGGGATAATTTCAAAAAACTAGCTGTTATGGCGGGCCCCTCTGGCGGTTTCCGTCATCGGAGTTAGGCTTAGGTGGGAAAACTGATGTTTAATTTTTTTATGAGGTGGTAAAGTAAATCTTTTTTTTTTGGAGGTGGTAAATTCAATAAAGTCGTTATTTGAAGTTGGTAAAAATCAAAATAACCAAATAAAAATGGGAACACATTTTCAGAAACAAGGCTAAGCTAAATAGGTTGTGTAATTAAATGCTGAGATTAATTTTTGTTTCCATTACATGTAAATTGTAATACTTCTCATGATTGTTGTAAAAGATAAAATGTGTAGGATAAAATTGTGATCAAGGCTAGCCACATACAATACTTACTCAATTGTGTAATTTATGTTGGTTTATGGGGGCAGTTATAGGTCATTAGTGCGTATTTTGTGACAATCAGCTTTATCCAATTAAGGGTTGGGATGTTACCTACTTTTGATTTTATATATTTATTTATTTATTAATTTTTCGACGAGGTGTTTCTGTCTTCTTAATCCTTTTCAATTTTTGACCTTTCATTAATTATTCAACTATGTTTTATTTTTTTTCATTTCATGTTGAATTCATGAACAAACTCACATGTAAGTGAAAGTGTAGTTTCATATTAATCAAGTGTAAAAGTAAAAAAAAATAAAAAAAATTGTGTCCACTTTATAAAGTTAAGGGGCTGCCCTCCTCATCTATAATATCTATATTAAAAAGTGTTCTAAACAAAGTACACATGCCACGTGGTGCTCTCCTCCATATGTTTTTCTTGTAAAATCAAGTGTCTCACCATTAAGCTACTTCATACTTTATGTTATTTTTTTAATGCAAAATATTAATATGTAGTGAATGTCAATATGAATAACAAATTTAATTAAAAAACTTGATTTATAATCTAAGACGTATTTTAATGCAACTCCATGTAATGACCCTGGATATTTGCTTGGGCCCAGATACTTGTTGACACATGATTTTGAGATACAATCTCCTTAGACTTATAAAGCGAATACTCATGATATGTAGGGCCTAGGCACATCTATCAATTCATTTATTTAGTCAAAAGTAAGAATAAGGTAAAAAGATGGGTAATACATATGATTAAATCTCGCATACTCGTTTTACTTGAATTTATTTATTTATTTATTTTAAAAAAAAAAGATATTTAATTGAAATTTTTTGTTGAATATCTAAATTTAAGAACTTTCTTATTTTTGTTTTTGTAGTTATAATAAACAAGATTCTTAGATACCCTCAAGACCTTGCGTGGGGTTTGATACAAATGGCTTTTATAGAAAAATCTTTCGCATAGTGTTTTGTGAAGATACTAGCTAAAGTCCCGTGCTACGTACGATTATCTTAAATTTTATATCGAATTATATTTGTTTATGATGTATTAACAAAAAAAAATTATTTTTAACCAAATAACTTAAATTTAATCTATATTCAATACCAAAGATATCAAAGTTATTAACCTTTGTGATTTTATACTTTGTATATGTTATCAAAATAATTTTTTTAATGAAATGAATTCTATAGCCAAAAATTAAAGTTCAAGAAAAGAATGATAATATTACTATTGATTAGGGGATTTTGCTCCCACCAATCGGAATGCGCCACGTGGGCCAATCAGGTCCTGCCAAGTGTCCCCCAGTTGGAACTGTCAGGGCTTGCCACGTGGCACACGCTTATTCGTCCACCTTGGACCTATTATGTCATGACACGTGGCATACTCCATGCCTAATGGAGAAACCGGCCACCCAGGCCCAACTTCCGAGGGAAGCCCAATCAGCCCTAGGTTAACCTAAACCTAGGATTGACACGTTTCCCAAGGTTATAAATACCTCCCTTAATCCTCATTAAGAGGGGGATTACACTAAAAATTCAGTAATTGATGACTCTCACCTAGAGAAGTCTAAACACATTGATCACTCCTCCCCTAGAGGAACCAGATCTCCCACCTTTACTTTCCGCATTTATTACTCCTCAAACAAGTACTAACTTGATCGTTGGAGGCGGAGCTCCCACCACAAGGAGTCTCCGTTGTTTTGCAGGTACAGGCGTCCGGTTCCAGTCTCGGAATTGTAACTCTCCCGCAGGACATCAGAAAACCCCGAAACAACTATAATTATTGATATTAATGTTATTCTAATTACCTTTTTTAAGGTAAATTCTAACTACCTTATATAATAGTATATATACAAATTTACCTAATATATTATTGAAGATATGTACAAATATTCTAGTTAATTGTATACAGATTGAATATGATTACCAAAATGGGAAGACAATGATATAGGTTATAAATTGAGATTTTTAATTTGATACACTTTTGTAGGTCTTATTGTAATATACTTCGTATGTATAAGTGAATCAATTGTAATTTAAAAATATTTTGTTTATTATATTTTCCTTAATTATTTCACCAAAAAAAATATTTTCCTTAATTACATAGGAGACATTGCATTTATAAAAATAATAAAAATTGCAGTATTGAAGTGACCTAAATATATATGTATAAATGTATAATGTTAGTCAATGATTTTCTAGTTTGGTAAATACTCTTTTTTTGAAGAAATATATGGAAAATCTTGTATATAATCAATCAATGAATATTTAAAAAAAAATTGGGTTTTTTTTTTGTTTTTTTGTTTTTTTTTTTTTTAAAGTTGGAGGGAAAAAACAACACCAGAAATTAACACGTGTCATTTCTGATTTTTGTTTTAGTATTATGTTATTGATTAAAAATTTTAGCTACTTTAGAGTGATTTAACAAGTGGATTTAACTTACGTAAATAAAGTTTTGTTGGTAAAGTCTTAGGATGTGATATCAAATAGAAAATCAATCCTAAAATCTCCTGAAATCGGGAGGAAAGCTTTAACAACTTGAGTCCCTCACTATCACTGAATCATTAAATATAATGTAGATTTAACTTTATGTTGTTGGTAAGTGTTAAAATGTCGTATCCAATACTTAATATCAAATACGAAGTATTATTTACACAAGCGTCGTTGTCTTTTTTGTACCCTTACATACAAGTGTAAACAATTTAGCTTTTATATCCATACAATGAATAAGACATATAAATATAGTATTATTCCATATTACTCTACTATTGATTACGCCAACCTTTTAATTTGTTCTCAACAAAAAATCTTATTAATAATCCGAGTGTTTAGAGTATACAATTAATCTGTCCCTAATTTGTTATAAGAATCACTAATACTTCGTATTTGGATAGTATTAGCATATTGAACAAATCCTTGAATTGTAAATGACAAACTACACTTTTGTGCTGGAAAGAAAGGGCATGGGACACCATTTAGAATTTGGGAGTAAGTAATTATTTGAATATTTATTTGTTCTCAGGTTGTTTCCCATTTTATTGACAAAAACAGATGAAAAGAAGACAAGAAGAAAAACAAAGAGAAAAATAATTAATAATAATATATAAAATTAATGATAAAAAAAGTGAAGAAGACAGAATCAATATCTACTACGATCTTTAATAACACCTGTTTCTTTCAGCATCTACAACATTTCTTAATCTCTCCCTCTTTGAGAGAGTAGGAAAAATTAATTAGTTACATTTTTGAGGGAATTGATTAATTAATTTAATTAATTAACTTTGTTGCTCATCATTGGCTTTTTCATTCTCTCATTCCCACCTTCTTCTTAACTGACCTGTCAAAAGAGATGCACAAATGATTAGTCTTCAGGCCTTTCTTCTTCCTTCTAAAATTATTTTTTGTTTATTTATTCTATTCAATAAAAAAATAATATTGTTATTGGCAAGAAATAATAGTCACACAAAGGAATGTACAAAACAATAAACAAAAAAATTATTAGATTTTCAAACATATCCTTGTTTTAAATTATTTGATGAACAATATAGATAAAACTAGTACGATAAAAGTTTAGTTTTTTATTTTTTTTTTATTTTTTTTTTATTTTTTAAGAACGATAAAAGCATACTCTCAATTACGGTAGTTGAGACAATTTTCTACTCATATTAATTTCGAATAGAGGGAGTATATAATTACCAGGTTGTGTATAATTATCTGTATCATCTCTTACATTAGAAGACTGCCAAAAAGAACCATGGTGATTATTGTATGAAGAATTTCCCTAAAAATCAAAAAAAAAAAAAAAAAAAAAAAAAAAAAAAGAAAAATCACCAATATTGAATATATAGTATATACATAGAATAATATTAAAAAAAAAAAAAAAAAAAAGTATATACATAGAATAAAAGTACAAGGCATATTCTATGATAGGGGCTAATAAAATTTCTACCTGATAGTGGGTTGCTGATAAATTTTCTGAGAAGTCCATAGTAGAGGAATTATCATATATCTGCAAAATAATTATCATAAGTAAACATTAACTTAACTATAATTATGATTAGCAAATCTTAACTACCAAACTTATCACATTATTAGTAGTATAGTATGGCATAACAAAATACCTTAGAATGTGTAATGCCAGGAGAACTAGCAGTGTCATCAAGATGATGTTGTTGTTTACTTGCAACTTTCTTATGCTCTTTGCTTGACTTCTTTGATCTCTTATCACTTTTTTTCGACGATTTTCGACTGTACGATTGTTGATCAACTTCTTGATGAAGAAAATGAGGAGGACCAGAGGATGCATCAGACACCATAGATAAGTCCTCTACACCATCATCATCGTTGTGAGTCGAATTTAATCTATAACTTTGATGGTAATCACCAATGTTATTTGTTCTTGGTATGTATGACTCTTCTAAGTAGACGGTCCACCCTGATTCACACTCATTACTCCATTCTGAAGCCGCAATATCCATCTTTGGTCTAATTTTTTGGCGTAGTGGATAGAGCTACAAAGACAAATGATGTAAACGAGATTTGATCCCCAGGTCTTAAATACCAGGTCTCGAGACTTCAAATGATATGAAATGGATAGAAGTTGTATATTTGATATGAATTGGAGGGAGTTGGTGTTCACTCTATATAAGGAGAGAAAAAGGGTGGAAATGAAAAAGGGTAGAATATAATAAAATGACATTGATGTATAATATAATGTTTATAGGCTAAATTTGTCCTTTACTTAAAATGTTGCTACACCTCAATTTATGATCATATGATTAATGAATCAAAAATGCCAGTTGGCAGTGCTCTTTTTAATTTGAAAGTGAGGTAGTAAAGAGAAAGAAAGAGGAGGGGGTGGGTGAAGCCTGTTATTGTCAAGTAGTAGGATAGGTGATTAATGGACAAATTTGTGATTATTGAAGATGTTATGTTATGAATTGAATAATGGGGTTGAGTATATTTGTTACTTTGCTAACAGAAACTCCTTTTACTTGATTTGACTTATGACCTTTGACGCCTGATGTGGCATCTACGTCGTCCACAAGAGATTTTGTAACAGCCGAATTTGGATACATTATTATTATTGTTGTTTTGTGAGATGCTACTTGATCGACTTATCATAAAAATGATACGAATTAAGGAGATTATTAGCAATTGTGTACCTTTAATTAAAAAAAAAAAAAAATATGAACTGGCCGGCTCACCACAACTCTTGAATGGATGGGGGTTGGTTGCGGTTCAGTATATGTGCTTTCTTAGGAACATATTGATAAGCTGATGAGCGAATTAGCAAAAGTTGTTATATATACCTGGGTGCACGGTGTATCCAAGGAATTTATTTGCTTATTTTGATGATTAGTAAATGGTTATTGATTTTGGTAAAAATATCTCACTAAGCTTTCCAAGATAAGCTAATAAAAGAAGCATAAAGAAGCTTACACCTCCACATAGCTCTAAGAAGCAAAGCTAGATCTACAAAGCAAGATTAGGAAAGAGAAAAGAAAACAAACTATACACAAAACATATGTTAGTAACTTCAAAACAAAAACAAAGAAATAAAACTATTCACTAATCTAAAAAGAATTTGAATTTTAAGGATTTGGATTCATGGGTTTGGATTTAAAGGGAGCACAATCATTATCATTCATATCTTCATAAAAAATCACAAAAAACCATCATCATCACAACAACAACCAACAAAAATCATCAAGGGCTAAAGAGAAGAATCATGCACAACAAGGTAAAAGGAGACCAAGCACATCAACAACAAGTATACACAAGACACACCCACCCCCCCTCCCCCCAACCAATGATGAATAAAGTCCCCAAAACTTGAATAAAATCATCTCAACATCCCATCATGAAAAACAAACAATCAACAAGTAAAGGGATGGAGGAAAAAAAATACAAATAGAGGACTATTGGCCACTAGGACTGGCCTCATCATCGTCCCTATCCTAGGATCCATCCACCGGTGTAGCCGGGTGGCCATCCATAATGACCTCGGAAGTTATCCTCTTGCCAAGAGGTCAAGGGATCGTATTGTGGAGGTAAAGAAAGAGGGGATGGGTGAGTGGGGTCAACATAGGGGTAGTTAATTAGGATCACCCCTATAGTCACTCCCAACGGACACACGGAAATCATAGTTCTCGTGTTCATCGGGGAAGGAGCGCAACTCGGTATTAGGTCCTTGAGGACCTTGCCATGGGCTTATTATCACCACCCAAGACGGTACGGGACCGTGTTGTAGCGACCAATATGGATAATTGACCGTGGGGGTGACTTCGCCCTGTTTAACGCTCGCCTCATAAAGTGCTTGTTGTAGGAGTAACATACCTTGTTGCATCTCCATTATCCCTCGCATGCCAAGTTGCATGCTTGCCATTTTATCTTTAAGGCTTTGCATGCCTCGAGGATGAAATTGTTGTTGTTGTTGATCATCATCATCATCTTCCTCTAGACCACCACCCATGTTAGCACCCGGAAACCGATTGCTATGGGAAACATACCAAACATTGGGAGCCTCTCTCCACAAGGAAGTCAAAGAAGGGTTAGGGAGATAACACCTATGCACTTGCCTCACCAACCAATCATGTACATCATCATCATTAGTCTCGACAATGAAATGAACCCTCTTAAGTTGTTCGATGTCGAGGTAGATGTCATCCGCATCACCCACGGGGGTGCAAGAAGCAAGGTAGCAGGAGTAGCAAAACCTCTTAGCCAATCTAGTGACCATAATCCCACAAGTCATCTCTCCCGTCCTTCGTCCCCCTATGATAGACTCACAATTCTTTAAGAATAGTTGGCCCATGTTCAACCTTCCTCGCCACTCCTCCCTTGTGGCTAACCAAAGTATGACCAACTCAAGCTTTGTCATTTTACCCAAATCTTGCTTGGGGAGAACCGAGTACCCCAAGAGCCTATGTAAGATGCGAAGATAAGGTTGGTAAATATCACCAGCAAGGGAGAAGCGGGCACCAAATGCTTCTTTACCCGAAATAGCGTTCCACCAAGAAAACTTTGCATACACATTAAAATGCTCATGCTCGGGGAATAGGAGATCGACATCGGGATTGAAGTCAAGAGCTTCCTTAAACACTCGGAGGGAAAGACTATGATCTTGGTTGAAGAGTTCGAAAGAGATTTCAAAATCAGAATCACCAATTGGAGCGGCCTTAAAAGAAGATAAGAACTCATTAGTAGGCTCGATATATGTTCGGTGGGCGGCGTTTGCAAATGTGCCTATTCGAAGATTGTTAAAGAGAATCCATAAATCCTCGTTAATGCCCAACTTTATCATATCTTCTCTATAGTAATGGCGAGAGGGTCTAAAGAGTCTCTTTTTGATGTTGGCATAAATTGGTTTATGTGATGGATTTTTGAACTTAAGAGTGGGGAGGGGTAAGGAGTCATTTGAGGTTTGGTTTTGAGTTTGAGGTTCTTGTTGTGGTTCCTCAATTCGAACTTGGGGTTCCTTCCCCTTCTTGTTCTTTGATGTCAAAGATATCAAGATTCTTGACATTGTGAACAACCAAAATAATAGCCAAGCAACTCAAATAAGCACTCTTACAATCACCACCAAAACCAATACTTATCAACACCACAAGGCAACCACACCAAACACCAAAGTGAATACCAACTTCAAACTTCACCAAAATCACACCAAAAGCGATAACAATGCTAAACAAACAACAACAATCAAATGTTAAACATCAAAGATTATCAAACAACAACAATATGAATCAACATTATCAATTCAATCAACAAAATACCCAAAAACAATACTACTACTATTCACAAGTATGGAAAAATCAAATTCTCATTCAAATGTAGTAAAACAAGTTCAATAAAGAGTAGAGAAGATGATTATACCATACAAGAAGCAAGATTAACCAAGGTTTAAGAACCAATTCACCAAAATTTCAAAATCCCTAATTTAGTCTCCAATGGAGATTGAAGCTTGAAGAAGAAGAAATGGTGAGTAGAAGTATGCAAAATGGGTAATTTAAGATGAATAATGTAGGGAATGAGTGATTTGTGAGGGAAATTTTTGAGTTTAGACGATGTTTAGGAAGATTTGGGGGTTAGGGTTTGTAGTTTAGAGTGAGAAAGAATAGGGGGTCGAATGTTAGATTATGAGAAATGAGGAAAAAGGAGGAAAGGAAAACAAATGGCACGACATGTTGTCAGGTGCGCCCACGCAAGTGAGCTGCGCGGGCGCATGTGGGTCGCGCAGGATGATCGCGCTCAAATTTCCTCTCGGCATTTTGCAGGAGCGGTCGTGCTTCCCTGTTTTACCCTTTTCTTCATCCTTAACCTTATTCTAGCTATCTTTAGTGCATCAACCCTTCACATGTGGCTCGTGATCATGCCAGACTGAGCTCAAGCTTCCACAACAACCACTAAGCGTCCCCAAACGATGCTTCATGCTTGATCAATGAATCTAAATCACATGAAAACCATCCTACAAAAACAAGCACAAAACAAGTAAAGAAAAGAGAAGATAAGAAAAGAAAAATGAAAAATGAAAAGAGAAAAGTTAGAGGGCCGAGTTGCCTCCCAGAAAGCGCTAGTTTAAGGTCCCTAGCTTAACCCTACCTCCAAGTCATGGAGGGACAAATAAAAAAACCTTGTCCAAAGTGGTGGAGAGAATAGGGTCATTGCCAAGCTTGGGAAAAATCACATTATGAGAGTCATTATCTAGCATCACAAAAACCCGATCAAACTTGTTGAACTTCAACTTCTCTTCCTTTTTCTTGGGAATCCTATTTCTCTCCTTTTTTCTTCTTCCTTGGAGCTATGAACTCCACACCATCTATGCTCTAAAACTACTCTCATCATCATTCAAAGCAAGTTCAAACCATCCCGTCATCTCAATCACATCCTCAAGCCTTGAGGTCTATTTCCCGCGTTCACTAACCAACTTGCTACCCACACTTATAGAAGCATTATCACAAACTTCAAGAACATCATTAGTGGACGACGCAAAAGTGCAAGAAATGTCCTTCAAAGGAAACGAATTAATGCACATAATTCCTTGCACATAAGAAAGAGACTCATGCATGGGCTTGAGTTTGAAACTAGCCGTATCAATACCAACACACAAAGTTAGAATGCCACCTTTCACATCTATCAAGGCACCCGAAGTTGCTAGGAATGGTCTCCCAAAAATGATAGGTATATTGTCATCTTCCATAATCTCAAGCACAATGAAATCAACTGGGATAGAGAACTCTCCTATCTTGAGGGTGACATCCTCAATCCTAACCTTAGGGAAATTAATGGAACGGTCGGCCAATTTTAGAGTCATGTTGGTAGAGTATGGCATGATGCTAACAGTAGCACCAAGATCACAAAGAGCATTTTGGAACAAATTTCAATTGATATTGCAAGGGATGGAAAAATTTCAGGGATCTTTCATCTTCTTAGGTAAGTCATTGTGGATAAGAGCACTACAACACTCCCCAACCTTCACCGAATCAACCTCATTACACTCCCTTTTTCCACACAAGATTTCCTTAGGGAACTTAGAATAGTTTGGCATTTGTTTCAAAGCATCAGTGAAAGGAATAGAAAAATGAATCTCCTTAAGCATATCAAGAAATCTCCCAAATTGATCATCAACTTTGTTCCTCAAGAATTTTTCGGGGTAAGGAAGTTTGGGTTTGACAACTTCATCTTGCATACTCTCTTTCTTCTTGTCTTTCTCATTAGAACTCTCATTCTTCTCTCTAGACACATCATGCTCAT